GGTGAGTCTGAACTGCTCTATATTTCTATCTCAGTGGTGTTATGAAGTCATATCTACTCATCAAAACTTACAGAGCAGTGTTATAAAGAGGTTGACTTCCTGTATTTAAAATTTACCTTAATTTGTCTTAAATATTAATAAAAGAATAATTTTCAGGTTACAACTCATTTAAAATAAATACATAATCACTTTTGGCTAATACAGTTGACTCTTGAACAACACAGCTTTGAATCACACAGGTTCACTTCATATGCAGGCTTTTTTTTTTTTCAATAAATATACAGTTGTCCCTCTTATCTCCAGATTTGCATCCTCAGATTCAACCAATCTCAGATTGAAAAGAATATTTTCAATCTGCAATGTGGATCTGTGGATGCAGAGAGCTGACTCTGTGCATTCTTCTATACCATTTTATATAAGGGGCTTCAGCATCAGTGAATTTGGGTATGCACAGGGTGCCATGGAAACAATCTTCTCACAGATACCAAGGAATGACAGTAATTAAAATTTAGGGTAGTAAAAATTTATATGCAGATTTTTGACAGCACAGGGGTCAGTACTCCTAACCCTCATTTTAGTCAAAGGCCAAATGTATGTAGTTAACTTTTAAAAATCCACATTTTGCTATTCTTGTTTATATATACTCCCAAAACAGTTAGCTATTCATTTTACATTGTAATTTTGAGGGAATACATTTATAGAAGCATTAAAATCTATGCACATCAACTATTTTTTACCTCTATATAAGCATAGACAAGTACAGAGTAACATTTATCTAAAATGTATAATGCACATTTTTGTGGTTGTGGGATTGAATATAATATCTATTTGTTTTATTTTGTGTCTTGTATTCAAGTGCTTAAATTATCTATGATGAGCATGCATAATTTTTTGGATTTTTTTCAAAACAAAAATTGAGTATACCAAAAATGAGAGACATATCTCATTTGTGCATTTGTTTACTAAAATAATATTGATATTAGATATATTATAAATAATAAATAAATAATTTATATAGATTAAACAGTAAAATAATTTATGTGAGCATTCACTTTTATGAAGCTGTAATTACCCAAAGACATCTGTGACCTTGTATGATATAAAATGATGAGCTCTTCTAGTGACAAAGAACCAGATAACAATGCCCTGTCAGATTAATCTACTCAATATAGATTCAGCTCATAATGGACCACTGTGAAGATATAAAAGTTGTCATTCTTTCAATAGTTGTGATTTGGGTTGTTTTAGTAATTTGTCACATAACATCTTTCTTTAATCTTTAGGGCCTTTTAGAGATTAGATATACAATCATCATAAACATTAACTGGCCAGAACAGATCATGTCTGAAGAGGTGTGGCCCCAAGGCAGAGAGCTCACATCTGCTCTTGTTCAGTGCAGTTATGTCTCTCAGGGTCATGCTCCTAACATAAGTAAAACTTACAAGCTATCCCCAGAAATGAAAACACGAATGTAGTAAAAAGTATTTGTTTTTATTTTCCAGTATACTTCATTAAAAAAGATACAGTTTTATTAGTAGTACATAAACTTAAAGAACAAAGTGATGATTTGTTGTCACAAATATTAATTTATATTTACAAACATTCACCAAAACAATTAAAAATGAAATAAATACATTTACATGTTAAATTTCTGGTATTTTTCATTTTATTTTAATATCTATAAAATATATAATATTTATAATATTTTATTTATCTTTGAGGGCAACTTCAAATGTGCAAATAAGTGAATTATGATTTTAAAATATTAAGGAAGAAGAATAAATCATAAATAACAGTTCTAGAGGAATGAATAAAATAATTCTGTAAGGAGAATTTATGGTACGGCAGTATTGAGTGGCAAAATGTTTGTTATTAATATCAGAACATCTACATTTACCTTAAAAAGTAAAGCACAAGATTGTCCTTGTGCATTTAAAGCTTCTCCACACTGCTGATTTCTAGCAGTAAAACTAAGTAATTTTCAAATTAGTACTCATCACAATGACAAATCAAAATTCTCTCAAATCTAGCATTCTATGTAGACAAAAGTTTATAAGCAAGTTTTTATAAGCAAGTTTTTTGTAGATGAGGGAAATGTCAATCTACAAACTAATGCTTTCTCTGCTTACGTAGTTAATAAGGGCTTGACATTTATTTTCAAGTAATTACTTTTCTACTTGCTAAATGACAGTAGCAAGTATTAAATGAAGCATTAAAATTATAAGTTGTTATAGGTCTGGAAAATGGGCAAGAAATGATTATTCTCCCTTAAATTAGTGCTGGATGATAAATGTTAGAATACACATTATACATATATTATCTATTAAAGTAGTTTTAAATAAATATTTTTTGCAATATAACAAATTTAAAATTCCCCTGCTTTAATTTACTTTAGCTTAAATGAATTGTTACTTTTATCAGGCAAAATATGTTATTATAATAATTAGCAAAATTCAAAATATTTGAACTCCTTTCTCTGACCTTAGTATCTGCTATACAATATCCTCCTTGAACTTGCACTATGCACACTATAATGGACCTTTGAAATGTGTGCATGTATATGCAAATGAATACATATATACATATGTACATATATATACATGTAATGTACACAAACATATACCAAGGCACTAGAAAAGTTAACACAAAATTAAGTTTTCTTCTCTTAAAATGTGCTCTAGTATAAACTAGGTTTTAATATGAATAAATCTAATGCTTCTAAATCTAAATTATATGAGAAATAGAGATTAATCTATTTTTCATTTATGAGCTTTCACATTCAATTAACCCATTATAACAAATGACAGTAACTAATATTAAACTATAAAAGAAAATGCTAAATACTACCTGTTGACTAAGAAAAATCAGAATAATATTTTTAATAAGTGGCTGCTCCACTAATCATATTATGTAACATTTTAGGCTTTTTTTTTCAATAGTATCAAAAATAAATTTAGTATTATCATAAATTTTAATTTAAGTTATAAATTATAACATAAATTTAAAGATATTAAGTATATGTATTTGGAATATTTTAATATAGTCCATCAAATTTTATTATATATATATTTGTATATATGTAAGTGTATGTGTCTGTATTAAACAAGGAGATATACACCCATACATGTCTCTTTGTGTATCTTTTTCTTCATCATACACATAAGTACAGGCTCGAATATTTTTATGATGTAACATAAAGGACATTTACACCAATTGCCTTTGTATTTTTAAAATAGAGGTTTTAAAAATCTGACATTAATTTTTAATAACTATATTACAACTACATAAAGGTTTAAACATTTTTTCTTTTGACTAACTATTCCACTTCATATTTCTTGTAGACCAGCTTATCACAATGTGGACATACAGAGGTTATCTCAAGGTGGAGCACACTGAGGGACACAACTCTAGTTAGTAGCAGAGATTCTGTAATGAGCTGGCTGCTACAGCTTCATGTCCTAAGGTTGATGCCTCAATTTTTTTCTCCATTACAAACAATAATGGGTTAGTAAAGCCTATCTTCTGTGGGCTTCTTATTTTAGAATGACTTTTGTGTTTGTTGATACATATTGAGGAGAAATTCTACAGTATCACCCTAATTATACATATTAGTTACTTCTGTGGTCAAAGTAAATTATATTAATTGTTGTTGATTTTTTTCCAACATTCTCTTAATAACATGACCCAGGCCAAACTTAACACTTGCCCATGTAAAATTATGAAACTTACTCTTTAAAAAAAATTAAATGTGATTTAGAATTTTAATCAGATGTAAATTGATAATCTATGACTATAGAAATAGTTGTATGCTATTTTTTAATTATAATGGTAAAAAACTTTTACAATTTATTTTTTCCCCTTAAGTAGTATTTTTTTTACTATTTACAAAATATATCAAATCACATTATTAGATACTCGATCATTTTCATAAGGAAGTATCCAATTTTGCTTCAGTTGAGAACATGTGTATTAATAGGAAAGTGTTTCCTTTTTTTTTTTAATAGGTAGCTGGTTGTTTAAAAGCAGAGCTCAGTAATAAAGGACAAAAAATGTTTTCCACATTATACACAAAGTTATGTGATATCTGGAATCTGACTTGTGTGCACACACCCCCCAACCCAATGTTTTCAAATTTCCAGCCTCTTCACATCCAGAATTCCTTAGAAAATATCCCTAAATTAACCCACATTGTTTGGAGTTATATAATAAGTTTTTATGACATGGTAAGGTAAAAATTTTAATTTTTATTTTTGTATCTCTATATTATCATCAAATACTACTTATGTGAAAAAATAATTCAACTAACATAATAATAGATTTGAGATAACTTTCTAGAAACATTTTAATTCACAATTAGCTAGAATTAGGTTTACAAAGAATTATTTCTCACACCAGAGCTGTTGATATTATGTTTTTCCACAAAAGTTTTGGAGTCACTGAAAACTTATGAAACTAACTTGAAAATAAATCTTTTAGGTAACAAATAAATCTTCCTAAATGAAGGACAAAATATATGTTCATGAATGTTTCCTTAATTCATAATTAAATTAACACTGGTAGTGAATAAAACATTTAGTATAAGTGATCCAAGGAGGAAATAGTTCACTTCACATTGCACCTACCATAGGTCAATGTTATTATCCTTTTGCAGTTTTTAGGAATATTTTACAATAAGATAAACAAAATTAGAGTGTCAGTGTCAAATCATGTAATGAGACTACAAGGAGAAATCTAGATCTGCAAATTAAAGTGTTTTTTTCTTTGATGAGATATTTTGCATGCTAGTGTCCTTGTTGCCATATGAGCTTTTTGCCTCCCTTAGGCTGCTCATAATAAAATTATAAAGCATTATTAATTCACGATCTGATCCAACATGTATTCACATACAAAATAATCTAAAATACAGAAATAGCCATTTAATTTTTTTTATTTATAGATAGCTTACAATTTTTATATTATTTACATAATTCAAATCATTCATTTTTTTTCTTCACTTTTAATGAAAGCAGTAAACTGGTACAAATCAACCAAATGAGATTAAGCTGTTCTGTTAATTTAGAATTATTCACAGATGTCTTCTAAAATAGAAATGCCTTTGAGATCCCCTTATGAGCATTTTTTTTCTGCTGAAATTTTATTTTGACTTCACTGTTGACTTGATGATATTATTGTTTCTCTGAGGTCTAAATGATGAATCTGTTTATTCTATTTATAGAGTCATGGTAAGTGGTGATACAAAGCTCAGTAATATCAAGTTGTATACTTTACTTTGCTTGTAGAAGTGGAACTGCCAGAAGCAGAAGCAGTAGCCTGACTGCCTAAAAAGAGAGGGTCCAAACAAGCTACTTTGGCAGCAAAGAATGAATGAATACAGTGAAGAACAGCAAATAGATTTGAAAATTCCAGCTCCTGAAAAGAAAAGAGAAGTGGGTCAGAAAAAAATTTTTCTTTAAAAAATTGATAGCAAGTAGACAAGTACATCATAGCTAAACATTTTTCAAGTGCAATAAATTTGACTATAATAAACTATTTCTAATGTGTGGCAACTGTAGGAAGTTTCGTTCAATAGGCAAATTTCATATATATTGCAGATTTACTTTGAAACATGATGATCTGAGACTTTGAAGGACTAGGCATACTTATTATTAATGAAAGTTATTTCAATATTGGTAAATGTTGCATAAAATATATTTGGCTAGATCAAAATTTTATTATTGATAAAGTATAACTAAAGAGAATCATAAGAGTAGTTTAAAAAGTATTTTTATTTCTTTGTACACACTTCAAATGACAGCTTTGGTTTGGAATGATTTTAGAAAACATCATTCACTACGCTTTAGAATAAGTTGCTATTTGTCATACGACACTGAGTATGAATTCCTGAAAAAAAAAGGAGGCATGAATGTTCATTACATTAGGAGCCATGGGGTTCAGTTTCAAAAAATAATGCATTTTATTAATTTTAATTTAAATAATGTTAATTGTTGCACTTGGTTTTTGTTAAAATCATATGGTAATTTTTGGGATATATTTTAAAAGCTTTTGAAAATCCATAAAAATTGTGGAACGTAATTAACAAAACAAAGAAACAAGCAAAATATAACCAGAGACATTGAAATTAACAACAAATGGACAGTAACCAGAGGGGTGGGGGAAGGGGATAATGGAGGGAAAGGGGAGAAGGGTTTTCATGAACAACTATAAAGGACTCAGGGACAAAACCAAGGGGGAGTGGGATCAGCAGAGGGAGGTGAGGATGGCTGGGAGGGGGAGTGGGGGAGGAAAGCAGACAACTGTACTTGAAAAACAATAAAATTTAAAAAAAGAAATAAAAGAAAATCCATAAAAATACAAACCATAAAATTATTTAATTCTAAGGGAATTGTGAGAAAAAATACATATGCTTAATTAAGTATGTATAATAAACTTATAAAGAAAACAGCAAAGGAGTAATAAACCATATGAAATTGATGGTGATGTTATTGCTATATAATTACATATTTGTAATAAAAGATACAAAATTATAATCAATGTGCACATTACTGTTGTATTGCAATTTATAGTACATGGAAATGGAAAATAACATAAATAGAAAAGCAATTCATTTAGGACGTATTTTAATATCTTCATTTACCAGGAAACTATTTATTTATTTATTGCATCCATTTATTCTTCTTATTGTTGTTCAAGTACAGTTGTCTCAGTTTCCCCCCCATGACTCCCCACACCCCATTCATCCATGGATGGATCTGGAGAGCATTTATGCTGAATGAAAAAAGCCAGGCAGTGAAGGAAAAATACTATAGGATCTCACCTATAAGTGGCACTTCATCCACAAAACAAACAAGCGAACAAAATATAACTAGGGAACTATTTAAATAAAATTATACACTTTTTGAATATTTTCTCTGTTTATGCCACAGAAGTGCAATATAGCACAATGTAGACTTATAAAATATACAAATATAGCACCATGTAGACTTTTATCTATGTACAACATAGATAAAAATAGCTATACTGTCTCAGCAATTCCCTTTAAAACAAATATATTTCATAGTTTCTTATGGCAAATATTGACTTATTCTAGAAAAAGGAAATATTTCAGTTAACTATTCTAATGTCCTAAAATGCTTCCATGTAAAAAATTATTTTAGTTATTCCATCATTATTCCATAAGTTTCTTAACAATACCTACTTCAGTGATACTATGATATGTTATTGGTTAACTAAGAGGTTTTCTCCTTCCTTAACTCTATTCACCTCTTCAGTCTTTGCGCAGTGAGCATATTGAATGCATTTGCAGACTTTGATGCTTCCTGGGTCAACCCATATTAAGTCCACCATACATAAAAAGAACGGGAACGTTTTGGAAAACATAAGATGTGCCTGCGTACAATTAAATAAATACAACAACAAAACACACAATTCATTCTTGGTGAAAGGAAGAATATTGTTGAAACTTGCAGCCTGGCAAAAAATATAACAAATAACTTTTTTTTGTAAAAATTAACTCTGCTGTAAATTTAATATATTAGATATTATATAACAGTTATTAAAAACCAAATACCTAAATATATAAAATTTTTGGAAGGATTAATAGTTTTCATTATTCACACCATGTCAATTGTATGTCAATTATGTAATGTAGGTTGGCACTTTAAAATGTTTGTACCTATTCTCAGGAGAGTGAGTCATAGGCAAAAATATGTAAGAGAAAGCAAGAGGCAGAGATGTGTTCAAGTTTGGACCTTGATTCCAAAGTCAACTCATATTTCCTCAGCCTCAATGGTCACCTTTGACAAGTACATCACTCCTTGGGCTTCAGTTATTTCTTATATAGAACCAATGCCCTTCTTTAACTCTTTTTAATGTGACTTTTATAACTACACATTTATCTATCTACTGAGCGTCCACAGATGACTTCTACCTAGTTATTTGCTACCTTCTTTTAATGAAGTTCTTATCCTCCTGAATCTCACACTAAGCATAAGTTCTTTCTAAACTAATCATTCATTCATCAATAAATATTTGCTGGTGCTTACTATGCATTTAGTGTTTTTATTGGTGAAAAGATACAATAGTTAGCAAAATAGATAAAAAATGTACTGATGGGACCTACATTCTAGTGGCAGGGGGCAAATTATAGTAATTAATAGTAATTGAGATTAAAGAAATAACATAGTCCAGAATTGGTGCAGCTATATGGAACTTTTATGAATTTTACTGTGAGTGACATGGAAAACTGCTGGTGATTCTTTAGAAGTGACAAAAATTGATGCAAGTCTTAAAATGATATTTTCTGCTATACTATTGAGAATGAGCAATTTGGGAATAAGATTTTTGAAAGGGAAAGGAGGTTTAAATATTTCCATTGAGAAAAGATGTAGAATTTAAAGTTAAGTAAAGATTCTAAGATCTATGTTTGAACAACTAGGAGAAAGTTTTCATTTACTACAAAGGAAGAATTAAGGAAAACACAAATTTGGCATAAAAATCAAGAGTTTGATTTTGGACATGTTGCATTTGGGAGCAAATTAGAATTGCAAGGGATAAGTATATAGATGTAAAGATTAGTGTAAATTTATTTAAGGAAAAATTAGGAATGGGATTAAAAATTTAGGATCTGTCAGCATGTAGATTATAAATAAACCTGTGGTCTGGGTGAAAAGATCAAGGTGTAGAGAGCATATAGAGAAAAGGACTAAGAACTAATTCCTGGGATCCCAGAGTAAAGAAAAATGTAGAAAATAAGAAAGAATCAACAAAGAAAGGGACCAGTAGTTGCCAAGGAAGTGAGAGAAAGTAGAGTATGGTATAATGGCAACTGGAAATTAACCATTAAATTTAACAACATGGAGGTCATTTTTACTGTTTACAGGAACATTTTTTATGGAGAAGTGTTAGAAGAGCTCATAAGGAATGGGTTCATGAGTACCTGTGTGGAAAGAAATTACAAAATAAGTGTCTATAGAAGGCCTTAAGAAGTCATTTTTCCTCTAACTGAGCAGAAAAAAAAATAGGTCAATAGGTAAAGTCAATAATATTTTTCCAACACTTAAGAAATTAGGATATATATATATATATATATATACATATATATATTCACAGATATTAACAGAGCTAAAGGGAGAAACAAACAGCAATATAATATTAATAGGAGACTTTAATACCACACTTAAATTATTGGATAGATCACCAGATAGAAAAATCAATAAGGAAAGATGAACCTCAGATAGCACATTAGAACAGATGAAGTTAACAGAAAGTTCTATCCAAATGGAACAGAATGTACATTCTTCTAAGGAACACATAAAATATTCTCCAGGACAGATTATATGTTAGGTCATTAAGGAAGTCTTAATAAATTTTAAAATTTGAAATAATCTCAAGCAACATTTTTTTACCACAATGCTATAAAAACAGAAATCAATTACAAGAAGAAAACTGAAAAATTTAGCCCTGGCTAGGTGGCTCAGTTGGTTGGAGCATCGTCCAGTACACCAAAGGATTGTGAGTTGATCAGGGCACATACCTAGTTTGTGGGCTCCATCCCCAGTCGGGGTGTGTGCAGGAGGCAAACGATCAATGTTTCTTTCACATGTATCAATGATTTTTACCCTCTCTCTCTTTAAAAACCAATAAATATATCCTTAGGTGAGAATTAGGAAAAATAATTACAAGTACTTTAAACAAGCAATGGTTAATTAAACAATAAAAAGAGAAATAATAAAAGGTATTGAGACAATGAAAAGGCAAATAGAACATACTAAAACTCATGGGATGCAGCAAAAGCTGTATTTTTCTCTATGAATTTCTAAGTGTGAAATTCATGAAGATAAACACCTACCTCACAAATATCCCTGATAAACATAGATGCAAACATCTTCAACAAAATATTAACTGATCAAATTCAACAAAACATTAAAAAGATCATACACATGATCATGTGGATTTGTTCCAAGTATATAAACATAGTTCAACAGCCACAAATCAAATACTGTGATATACACTAACAAAATGAAGGATAAAAATCATAAGCATCTTAAAATATGCATGAAAATATTTGACAAAATTTAACATACATTTATGATTAAAATCTATTAACAAAGTGGGTAGAGAGGGAACATATACCATCATAATTAAGTCAACGTATGGCAAACCCAAAGATAATACATGCAACAGTGAAAAGCTAAAAACTTTTCCTCTAAAATCAGGGCACATACAAGAAGCAACCAATGAATGCATAAATAAGAAAAACAGCAAATCTCTCTCTCTCTCTCTCTCTGTCATAGAAAGAAAGAAAGCTCTTTACAACATTCTTGGCAATATTTGTTAGAGATCAGATTTCAAAAACCGAACAAAAATGTACAAGTGTGAATACATCAAACTAAACAGTTTCTGCATAGGAA